AAGGATATGAATGAGGAGAGTTTATTGTTCTTTATCAGTAATAATATCAAAATTCATATGTTACGGAACTTGAGATCTTCCCCATTCCGAGATCGCCAAAATTTGTCTTATTTTTTATTCTACAAAAGCGATCGTCATTCTGAAAGGTTTAATTTCCCATAAATAACGAAATATATTCAGTTCTTGGCGCTTGTGATTCTAATAGAATTGCTTTATGGGGCAGAGATCTGGCAAATGGTTGGGGGTAACGTAATTACTAATCATGTAAATTTTTTTCTTTTAGCAGGTTCCAGATCAAGCGAATGAAACACTATAAATAAGCCGGATTTGTGAGGTGGGTTAGAATAATATTACTTATATTTTTTATCAAAAAAAAAATTACAATGGAAGGAATGAAGGAAAACTTACAGTTAAAATTGGTAAATAAATTATCCTATTGGCGGGGCTGGATGAAATTTACCTCGCTGTTCATGACGGGGGAGATAATAAAATAGACGAAGAAACGCTAAAAAAAGAACAAGGTGAATCTACTACGTTGTAAGTTACATGGTTTCTTTACTGTCTTACAAAACAAAATGTTATATAGAAATCCTTGATGTTAATATTTAATACCTGATCTTCCTGAATATTCCGGTTTTCTATTGTTGCGGGATTAGGGGCATAATAATAATATAACAGTTCCTGGTACAGTTATCGGCAATAATTTTGTCATTGATTTATATAACCAGATGGTCTCATTTTCAAATATAATTAATATAGAGTTATGAATTATAAGTTCTATTTAAACAATCGATCTTGTTAAAAAAATATATTTTACCATATGATATGTTTTTCTCGATGTTTACAAGTAATTCAACTATTGAAACACCTTTGGACGCCAATTCTCCAATAGATTCAGATAATGCATATCCTTTATATTCACACACATATATATATTCATGCGTTTTTTCATTTTTAAACCTTAACATTTGAAAAGTTCTTTTCCTTCAAATACGAAAAAGTGATCATAACAAAGTCTTTAGAATATTGCCTTTAGAATATTTATGTAAAGAGTTCTATCTAATTACCAAGAATCGAAATTTTGTAAGAATCAATCAATTACTAGACATACTACTTTTTTAATAATTAATTTCCACTTTTTACACTCTGTGTAATTACAAACTATCAAAAAAACGGACAAGAGTTTTAAAAAAAGTAGTATTATACAAATATATGGCTAGTTTTTGTATTAGGTTTTTGGCTATGGATATAAAATGATTTAAATAATAATAATTTATTATTATCGTTATTTCAAATTTGGTAATTGCTAAATTATGACTGGATACTATAGCATTTTTTTTAATATGATCAGATTTTTGATAAACGAACTTATAAAAATAAATGTATATATTTATCATATCATTCCGGTGTCAGTTTATTGATGACTTGTTAATATAATAGAAATGATATGGAGAAGACACTCAACTATTTCATAACTACATTTATATACTTGAAAAAGTAGATATCGGAAGATCAAGGTTAGGGAAGATTCTCAAAGCGAGAAGTATTGGTATGATAATTGGTGGTTACTTTTAATCAAGCGTAAAACATAATATTTATTAAAAAGTAAATAAATTCATATATTAAAAACATATATATATTATTAATTTTTTGTTTTGCTAGCACCGAAATTTTCTGTATAGCCATCTCCTTCAGCATCATGAAATACCAATTGTAATCGTACCCCTTCTGCTGTATGTTCCTCTGGTTGTCCCGGGTTGTCAATGACATTTCTGAGAAATATTTTTTCGTTATTTGTCTTTAAATACGCACCAATTTCCATTTTTTGAACTGATCTATAATTATACAGAATGGTGGAAATGAGATATATATGGAAACAAAAATCGTTTCATTATAGAACAATTAGAGAAACCATGTAACTTACAACGTAGTAGATTCACCTTGTTCTTTTTTTAGCGTTTCTTCGTCTATTTTTTTATCTCCCCCGTCATGAACAGCGAGGTAAATTTCATCCAGTCCCACTATGTAAAAAAATATCATTATTTAATCGTGTTTTTATCTTTTGTAAAAATACAATCTGTGCATTAATAATGCTAATGGGAGAACTTATTTACCAATTTTAACTGAAAGTTCTCCTTCCATTGCAAACTTTTGTTTCGATAAAAAATATAAGTAATAATATTCTAGTCCACCTCACAAATCCAGTTTATTTATATTGTTTCATTTGCTAAATCTGAGAACCTGCTAGAAGAAAAAATAGATGATTAGTAATTACGTTATCCTGACATTTCTCAGATCTTTGCTCCATAAAGCAATTCTATTAGAATCATAAGTGCCAAGTACTGAATATATGAGTCATATAGTTCTATGCAAAGTATATTTCGTCATCTATGGGAAAATTAAGCTTTTCAATCTGCCGATCGCTCTTGTAAAATGTAAAATAAGCCAAAACTTGACGATCTCGGAGATGGCGGAGATCTCAAGTCCCATAACATATGAATTTTGATATGAATCAGACTCTACGTAGTATTATTACTGATAAAGAACAATAAACTCTCCTCATTCATATCTTTTTGTGTCTCATTTGCAATTTTTCTTATCGAAAAGTTTTAATATTAATATTAATACTGAAGAGAAATGAAAACGTTTAAAAGGGCAGTATATCGAAATGACAAATAATTATTCATTGCTTTTATAGTGATTTTGCAATTTTTTACATCGTGTTATATAAAATACTAATTTTATAACAATTATCCATTTTAAAAATGGAAGCTTTCTTGATTACTTATACACCAATTTCCGCTATAACTATTTTTACTGCTTTATATAAGCGTGTTGAAGCTCATGAATGGACAGATAATCGTGAGAAGGAGGTGGCCAATTTTATCGAAGTAGTTGATAAAGTATTAAACACTATTCACATGAATGAAAAAGATAGATTGGACATAATAAGTGGTTTTGGAAGTGGCGAATTTTTAAAACAGCGTGTAAGTCTCAGAAATAACAAATCAAAATTAATTAGATATGATGAA